GGGCAGTGAGTTCCCCCCACTGCCCCCTGGATTCGCCACGCTGCATGGTGAATCCCCCTGCTATTGCCTGCTATTTGGACCTCAATGTGATGAGATCCTAGGTTCAAATATGGGAAAACAATGTTGAGGTCAAAGGATGCCCACCCTTTGTCCTTTTTCCAAAATGAAAGTGAGGGCGATCGATGTTCATAGTATACCCATTGGGATGTATGCTTCATGTGTTGGCATAAATTAAGAATTAAAGATCCAGCTGTTTGCTGATAGGAACAGCTGACATCTCCCCATGACCTGTATTGCTTACTGAGCACTGTCATTTATGCTATGCAAGAAATGCTGTAATTGCAATATTACATGCCCAGGGCCAACAACGAGAAGTTATGTTTACAGTGCTAGACTATGAGAACATCTTCTTAAACAACAAGTAAGCTCTGCTCACATTACCAAGTATGCATTCAATAATGTGCTTGCACACTTTGTCACTGTTTGCATAACTCCGAAGTTCTATAAAATGTTGATACTTGAAATAAGCTTTATCTCGACTACTTCTGTGAATAGGTTGGACTCAGTGATGGGGCTTGGCAAATCCTTTGGCCAAAGTATCTATTTGTTGTCTGTTTGCCTTCCTGCTCAATTTAGTCCCCCCCAGGGGGTTGAGAAGGGTGGGGTAAAAATATCCGAAATAATAAATAAATAAATAAATTTTAGGGCTCATTGCATTTGCATGTTTAATTTGTGAAGTGAAGTAAGTGGGATATTTCGGTCCTACTGAACACATGAGGAACCAGATTGACTCCCATTGCAATGCATTTCTCTTCCAAGCAAGAATTATGTATGATCTTTGTAGTGCTCAGCACAAATGTAGTTGTTGCTGTTGTTGTTTTATATGTTTATTTTGTTGTTGTTTATTCATTCAGTTGCTTCTGACTCTTCATGACCTCATGTTTATATGTTTATATCACACATTTATCAGAGTCATGGAACTCTCTTTTAAAATTAATACCTTTGTTTTCCTGCAACGATAGGTCTATGATGGCAATAGTACCAGTGCTAAGATGCTGGGCAAATTTTGCGGCAATGAGATGCCACCCGCAATCCGCTCTACTTGGGACAGTTTGTATGTAAAATTAAGGACAGACCGGTCTTTGGGAGGAGGAGGTTTTGTTGCTCATTATAAGCAAAGTAAGTTGGATCAGTGATGTTAATGCTTGTGGAGGCTCTACACATATATATTTGCTGCATCTTTTCCAAATCACATGGTATTTTAACTGTTATGTCTCCATGCTATGGAATCCTGGGAGTTATAGTTTGATGTGGCACCAGCACTTTGGCAGAGAAGGTGAAAGACCTTGTAAAAGTACAACTGTCATTATGTCATAGTATTAAAACATGGCAGCTCAAGTGGTGTCAAAATATATTAATTTTACAGTGTAGATGCACTTCCACTCTCTCCCTCTTTCATACTTGAAGGAAATTGCACTTACTCCCTCAGCAAATTATATTTTGGGGCATTCTGCTTCAGGTTAGAGATAATATACAGCTGCCATGACAAGAAGGCAACAATTGTTTTATCTTCCATGAGTAAATTCTTAGTCTATCTCATTCATAATTGTCTTATTAGCAGGAACTATGTAGCATTCTCTGGCAAGGGCCTTTCCAATAACTGCATGGAACTGAATCTAGGACCTTTTGCACACAAGGCACAAACTCTAGTTCAGAGTTATGGGCACTCTAAAGGATTCTAATCAAGGTGAAAGAAGAAAGCGCAAAAGCTGGGTTGCAGCTAAACATAAAAAAAACCAAGATTATGGCAACAAGAATGATTGACAACTGGGAAATAGAGGGAGAAAACGTGGAGGCCGTGACAGACTTTGTATTTCTAGGCGCAAAGATTACTGCAGATGCAGACTGGCCAGGAAATCAGAAGACGCTTACTTCTTGGGAGGAGAGCAGTGTCCAGTCTCGATAAAATAGTAAAGAGTAGAGACATCAGACTGGCAACAAAGATCCGCCTAGTCAAAGCCATGGTATTCCCTGTAGTCACCTACGGATGTGAGAGCTGGACCTTAGGGAAGGCTGAGCGAAGGGAGATAGATGCTTTTGAGCTGTGGTGCTGGAGGAAAGTGCTGAGAGTGCCTTGGACTGCCAGAAGATCCAACCAGTCCATCCTCCAGGAAATAAAGCCCGACTGCTCATTGGAGGGAAGGATACTAGAGACAAAGTTGAAGTACTTTGGCCA